AAAAATCAGATAGTTTTATCTCAGTGATAAGATTCTATTCAAAATGAATGTAAACATATACATCTACTAGATAAATCGTTAATAGATCAATTTAGAAAAAATGACTCTAAGTTTAACATTTGATTATATTAAATAACCTGTTAAATATTGTTCAACTGTATGACCAACTATTGTTGTTTTAATATCTAACGATAAACGACGAAAATTTTTAATAAATAAATCAACATTAATAATTAAATCATTAATATTAAGTTCTGTCCAAAGAATATTTGACCATAATTTTTTATTTCGTTTGAATTCATCATAAATATTAAATAAAATATTTAAACCATTTATTTCTTTTTGAATACGTATTAAATTTGGATAATTAATTAATGGTATATGAAATAATTTCATTATATTAATTAATTCAATTTTTCGTTGTTCAATATTATTTATTTCTTTTTCATATTGTTTAACAAGTAAAAATATTTGATTAAGATCATTATTAATTTTATATGGACCATATTTATCAAATTTATCAACAAGTTCATCAATCATACGTTGAAATAATTCAATATCATATTGAATTATTTCACGAAAGCGTTCACGTATAAGTTTTAAACGATGTTCTATAATATGTGATTGTTCAACAAGTTCTATTAAACGTGGAAATAATGTTTGTATAAGTTTTGATTCTGTTTGTGAATATTCAAAATGATATTGATCTAATATTTGATAGGATTGTATGATATCATATATTTGATGTCCAGTTAATTCTTGTTGTTAATTTATTTGTTTTACTATATTTAAAACAAATTTTAAATCAGGTATTGTATCAGCATCATGATTAAGACCTTGAAATAAATTACTTATAATATTATCAATTTCTTTAAGTTTATTTGACATTTTATTATATAAATGTTGTCCATAATGATTTATCTATTCTTTACAATGATATGTTAATGCTTGATGAAATTGTTTAAAACATAATTCAATTGAATAAATATTAGAAAAAAAATTCATTATTTCATCATAATCAGAATATGTACGAGATTTTAAAGTAAATCGACTTGTATATTTTTGTTTATCACTTTTCCATAAATCATTATATGTTAATAATTGAGTAAGAGTTTGATTTATAGAAGTAACTAATCCAGAAGCATAAGATCGAACTCATTTTAATGTTGAAACATAAAACGTTCTTTCTTTTGTTCAAACAACTTATGATTAGGGATACATCATTTAGCTTAATGTAAAATTATGCTAAGTTTTATAACTTAATTCTTAGAATAATGGACAAAACCGTCCGTTCTAGATGAAATCTCAACCGTTATAGCTGCTAGAAGTGTGAAAATTTGTGTGCACCTAATTCGTCAAGAGTGTAGATAAAAGATATAATTCT